AGGATGGAGTAGGCGTGAGAGGATGGGTGGGGGTGAGAGGATGGAGTGGGGGTGAGAGGATGGGGTGGGGGTGAGAGGATGGGGTGGGGATGAGAGGATGGAGTTGGGGTGAGAGGATGGGGTGGGGGTGAGATGGGGTGGGGGTGAGAGGATGGGGTGGGGGTGAGAGGATTAGGTGGGGGTGAGAGGATGGGGTGGGGGTGAGAGGATGGGGTGGGGGTAACAGGAAAAGGGGGTTGACAGGACAGGGGAGAGGCTAACAGGACAGGGTGGGTGTAACAGGAGAGGGGAGGGGGTGATAGGATGGGGTAAGGGGGCAACAGAATGGGGATAAGGAGTGACAGGATGCAGTGGGGGTACAATGTGGTTTGGCCATGTCCCTACCCAAATCTCATCTCAAATTGTAACCCCATGTTTCAAGGGAAGAATCTGGGAGAGGTGACTGGATCATGGGGGTGGTTCCCCCATGCTGTTCTCATGACAGTGAGTTCTCACAAGATCTGATGGTTTAAAAGTGTTTGGCAGTTCCCTTCCACCCCTCTCCTGCTGCTGTATAAGTCGTGCACTGCTCTCCCTTTGCCTTCTGCCATGATTGTTAAGTTTCCTGAAGCCTTCCCAGCTCTGTGGAACTGAGTCAATTAAACCTTTTTCCTTTATAAATCATCCAGTCTCAGGCAGTGCTTTGTAACAGTGTGAAAATGCACTAATACAGAGAATTGGTAACGGCAGAGTTGGGCACTGCTATAAAGATACCTAAAAATGTGGAAGCCACTTTGGAACTGGTGCTGGGCAGAAGTTCGAACAGTCTGGAGGGCTCAGAAGAAGACAGAATGTGTGAGAAAGTTTGGAACTTCCTAGAGACTTGTTGAACGGGTTTGACCAAAATGCTGATAGTGACATGGATGGCGAAGTGCAGGCTGAGGAGGTCTCAGATGGAGATGAGGAGTTTATTGGGAACTGGAGCAAAGCTCATTCTTGCTATGCTTTAGCAAAGAGACTGGAGGCATTTTGCCCTTACCTTTGAGACCTGTGACTTGAGAGGTGATTTAGGGTATCTGGCAGAAAAAATTTCTAAGGAGCAAAGCCTTCAAGATGTGACCTGGCTTTTTCTGAAAGCATATAGTCATATACATTCACAAAGAGATGATCTGAAATTGGAACTTATGTTTAAAAGGGAAGCAGAACATAAAAGTCTGAAAAAATTGCAGTATGACCATGCAATCCCATTTTCTGGGGAGAAAGTCAAACCAACTGAAGAAATGTGCATAAGTAACGAGGAGCCAAATGTTAATCACCAAGACAGCGGGGGGGGGGGGGGTGGTGGTAAATGTCTCCAGGGCATGTGAGAGATCTTCACAGCTGCACCCCTCCCCATCATAGGCCCAGAGAGAAAAAAGTAGTTTTATGGGCCGGGCCAAGGCCCACTGCCCAACTCTTGTGCAGCCTCGGAGCATGGTGCCCTGCATCCCAACTGCTCTAGCTCCAGCCATAACTAAAAGGGTCCAAGGTACAACTGAGCTGCTGCTTCAGAGTGCAAGCCCCAAGCACTGGCAGCTTCCATGTGGTGTTGGGTCTGCACGTGTGCAGAAGACAAGAGTTGAGGTTTGGGAACCTCCACCTAGATTTCAGAGGATGTATGGAAATGCCTGGATGTCCAGGCAGAAGTCTGCTGCAGAGGCAGAGCCCTCATGGAGAACCACTGCTAGGGCAGTGCAGAAGGGAAATGTGGGGTGGTTGCTCCCACACAGAATCCCCACTGCGGCACTGCCTAGTGAAGCCGTGAAAAGAGTGCCACGGTCCTCCAGACCCCAGAATGGTAAATCTACGGACAGGTTGCACTGTGTGCCTAGAAAAGCTTCAGGCACTCAACCACAGCCCAGAAAGCAGCCACCAGGGCTGTACCACGCAAAGCCACAGAGGGGAGTTGCCCAAGGCCTGGGGAGCCCCCACCACTTGCATCAGCATGTTGTGGATGTGAGACATTGGGTAAAAGGAGATTGTTTTGGAAATTTAAGATTTAATGGCTGCCCTGCTGGGCTATGGACGTGCATGAGGCCTGTAGCCCCTTTGTTTTGGTCAACTTCTCACATTTGGAATGGGAACATTTACCCAATGCCTCTACCCCCATAGTATCTTGGAAGTAACTAACTTGTTTTTTATTCTACAGGCTCAGGGGTGGAAGGAACTTGCCTTGACTCAGATGAGACTTTGGACTTGGACTTCTGAGTTTATGCTGAAATGAGTTAAAACTTTGAGGGACTGCTGGAAAGATATGATTGTGTTTTGAAATGTGTGAAGGGCATGAGATTTGGGAGGGGACAGGGGTGGAATGATGTGGTTTGGCTCTGTGTCCCCACCCAAATTTCATTTTGAATTGCAGTCCCCATGTGTCAAGGGAGGGACCTGGTGGGATGTGATTGATCATGGTGGCGGTTTCCCCCATGCTGTTCTTGTGATAGTGAGTTATCACGAGATCTGATGGTTTAAAAGTGTTTGGCAGTTCCCCCTGTCCCCTCTCCAGCTGCTTCCCCTTTGCCTTCTGCTATGACTGTAAGTTTCCTGAGGCCTTCCCAGCCACGTGGAACTGTGAGTCAATTCAACCTCTCTCCTTTATAAATTACCGAACCTCAGGTAGTTCTTTACAGCAGTGTGAAAACAGACTGATACAGGGTGACAGGACAGGGTGGGGGTGACAGGATGAGATGAGGGGTGACAGGATGGGATGGGGTGACAGGACAGGGTGGGGGTAGCAAGATGGGGTGAGTGGTGACAAAATGGGGTTGGGTGACAGGACAGGGAGCGGGTAACAGGATGAGGTGGCAGGATGGGGTGAGGGGTGAGATGGAGATGACAGGACAGGGCAAGGTGACAAGACAGGGTGGGGGTGATGAGATGGAAGGGGGTCACCAGTTGGCAAGCCAGGCAGGGGTGACCTGTCCCCTCCAGGTCTGGGGGTACATAGAATGTTCACACACAGTCAGGAGGCATCAGGGTCACAAACTGGCTTCCAGACTTGGGGAAGCGACACCAGAGTCCCTTGTCTTTAAAGCTAGGTTCCTTACTTTACCTACTACCTAATCTTCAAAGTTTTTTGAAAAGGACTTATTTTTAAAAATGAGATGGTTGAGCAGAGAAGCCTTTAAGCTGCCTCTCAAGCTCCAAAGGCCCCAACAGCGCCCCCAGTGGCTGAGGGGGAAAGGGTGGCCGAGCGGGGAGTCCCATGGGTGCTGCACCCAAGGGGCCACTTGGTGAACTACAGATAAGGGTTGGGCAAACAGGCTGATGGTCAGAAGGGGACTGTGACAACATCCGCATAGCTGGAAACACAGAGAAACAGATATTGCGTCTAGCAGCCTGTCCCCTTTGAGAACAAGGTGTTAATTAACAAGTCTGACATTTAAATCTAAAAGTCAAAAAAATTCAAGTTGCAATGAATCAACTTGACTTACTTTTTCTCTGTAGAAGGCTAATAATCTCTTCCTGTGATTTTCTTGAAATTCTGAAATCTGAAAAGATCATACGTTTCAGCTGCTGACAGGTGCATGGTTTCTGTGGCTGAAACTTTGTAGGGGGATGAGGAGGCTGGAGGGAACGTCAAGACAGCACACAGTGCTTGTTTTATGTGTGTCCTGCCCCCACAGATGCCCATGACCAGTGCCTGCCCAGGGCAGATGCCCCACACAGGTGGGCAGAAAAAGCATGTGTCAGCAGGCAGGGCCAAGGGCAAACACAGGTGAGGCTTAACGGGCACAACAGGAAAGTCTCTCCAGCAACCTGCTCTGTTTGAGTTGTGAGTGGTGCTCCCGCCGGGCCAACCACAGGGTGCTGTCCCTCTGATAATGGCAACTGGTTTAAGGAATGGCCTCCTGACCAAACAGTGCTGGACCAATGTCGGGAGTGGGTGGAAAGAGAGCCGGCACACAGAATGAGGCCAAGCAAGGCCCGCAGAGCTGGCAGACGCCTAGTGGGCCTGTCTGCACTCCCAGAGCCAGCCATGCCTGACACTAGCACCCTCCCTGGTCTTTCCAGTTACAGGAGCCCCAGATTCCATGCCTGCTGTCTAGACAGCTTGAACTGAGTTTCTGAGAGTACCAACATAAGGAAGAAAGAGAGGCCTGTGATTTACTCAGAGGAAGAGCGAGCTATTTCATGAGTCAAGTGTTCGGACAACGGTGCCTTCCCTCTGGAAAGACCAGGCTGGAAAGGCTGACAGACAGCAGGGCTAACTGTGGCTACACTGGTGCTGAAAGTCAGCGTCCTACAGCTCCATCGCCTACTTCACTGCACCCCACCATCTGCCTGCGATGATAACAAGCACAAGGGAGGGGCCTGTCTGCCCACTGCTCATGCCCGGTGCACACACAGGGCAGGCTTCTTCCCTTCTGTGGAAAGGCGGGCCCAGCACACACTGGCCTTTGTTCTCATCCTCCTCCATGAGAGGCCGTCTCCAGAGGACAGGGCTGCACAGGAGCCCTTCTCCAGGACAGCAGGGACAACAGCCTCATGGTCTCCTGGCTGCTGCGTCCCCGGAGTGACTCAGAGCTCTTGAAATCTCCCCTACTCCACAGGGGACTGTCTCTCCACCATGGAGGAAAGCCAATCCTGGGTGCTGCCCCATGGGCTATGAAGAGGAGTGGACAAAAGACTCTTCCCGGCTGCCCTGACCGCAGTTCTCATGCACATCACCAGCCACAGCCAGGGCACCTTTCCCACCTGTGCCGATGCTTCTCAAGTCTTGCTGCCTGTCGGAGGCACCTGCACATGCCCCCAAGGCTCCGCTCAGTTGTGCCTGTTGTGAAGCTTCTCCCAAGCACCCTCAGTGGGAACATTCCACCCTGCAGGCGAGGGCGTCTGCTCCTCAGCTTCACATGCTCACGGAGGGACCTGCAGGCAGATGCGCCTGATCCAGACGGTAGGGGTGCCCAGTCTGGCTGTTCTTAGAGAGAGGCCTTAGTGAAGCAACAGTCAGTCTGGCTGGCCCTGATTTGGTATGGCTGGCATGGCTGCAGGGAAGGGCTCTGAGGGCACCCGAGCAGCAGATGGGATGAGTTCCACTGACTGTGGAGCTGGGGAGCCTCTCATGAGCTTGGGGGACAGCTGATGTCCGTGTGTTGTGGGGTCTGCTAGGGGAGCCACACAGGCCTGCAGCCTCGTGCTGCCTCTGGGGTTTATCTGAACTCTGACCAATGCTGGGCCCCAGAGACTTGAGACACTGTGTGTGGCCTCAGAAGAGGGTAAATTTTAAAATAATAAAACAGTTTAAAAGGAACAGTGAGTATTTATCTTGCAGAAAATATGCCTCTTGAACTGAGCCAGAGAAACAGGTCAATGAAATTACTGCAAAACTCCAGGGCTGGGATGGTCACGGAGGCTGTGCTGGGCCAGGTCGGCCCAGGGCCCCAGGGAAGAGCTTTCTGGTGATCACGCGGACAGCTCGCAGCTGTGAGGACCGGCACAGTGGCTGGCAAAGCTGCCAGCATGGGGACCATGGAGCCAACACTGCCACATGGGGCTCAGCAGGAATCACAGGCTTGGCCAGCAGAAGGCCCGGGCAACTGTCAAGAAAGGACAGGGTCAAGAAGAAACCTGCTTCCCTGAACCCAGAGAGCCCTGACCTGTGACGAGGACTCCCAAGCCTGAGGTTCAAAGGTGTGAATATGGGGAGGGGGTGTCTTGCCCAAAGGACCCCAGAGCTGACTGAAGGACCCCAGAGCTGACCGAGACCACTTTGTCTCAATGGACACCAAAAGCGCAAATGACAGTAAAATAGATCAAATGGACTCTGTCAAAACCAAAACCTTTTGTATGTAAAAGTATCACCATCAGGAAAGTAAACATGCAACCCACAAGTATTTTGGCAGAAAATATTGCTGATGAAATATCTTCAAAGGAACTTGCCTCCAGAACATGTAAAATACATGGTCTCGGGGCAGTACACCTGGCTCACCACAGAACCAGGCCGCACCTCCCACACTCACCTTCGAGGTCTCCCTGGAGTACTTCCTACACAGACTGTCTATGCTCATGAAGAATGCCTGGATATCTGAGTCAGTCTGAAAGAGAAAGAAATCACTCTACATTTCTTGCATCTAATAAATGCTTCCGGCCACCAGTTAAAAACCGTACTTCAAGACCTAGAACTAGCTGTAGATGACTCTACAGAGTCATCTACATTGTGAATGGCCTCTCAGGGGCCCTACCAGGGACAGCCCCTCATCCTGGCTGATCCCTCTGAGGGCTGGGCTGGGCAGTGGTGAGGGCTGGGAGGCAGAGCGGCCTGGCAGCTGCTGAGCCCCTCTGGGCTACGAAAAAGACGCACTCCCTCCTCAAAAGACTCTTGGTGAGTGAAGGCCTCCAGCCCAGCCTCCTGCACAGTGGAGACATACTAAAATCAGGATGATGGTAAGCTGACAAGTGTAACTTACCACTACGTAGTCACCAGTACATGTTGAGTTATTTAAAAAGCAAGTATAAGACCTTAAGAAAGGATGCAGGTTGAAGAGACAGTGTCTGGTTATGAGCCCTCATGCAGACACTCCCAACTTTCTTCTAAAGTGCCTACAGCATTCCCTGCCTCACCTCCTCACACCCCTGGCCTTCCCTGACTTTCCCCACCCAGGACCACATTAGCAAAAAACACCCAGCGACAGCTGTCCTAGGCATGGAGCTGCCGTGAGCCAGAATCTCGAGCAATCCAAAGAAAAGGGGCTCATGCCTGTAATCCCAGCATTTTGGGAGACCAAGGTGGGTAGATCGCTTGAGGTGAGGAGTTCAAGACCAACCTGGCCAGCATGGTGAAATCCTGTCTCTATCAAAAATATAAAAATTACCTGGGCATGATGGCAGGTGCCTGTAATCCTAGCTACTCGGGAGGCTGAGGCAGGAGAATCGCTTGAACTTGGGAGGTCGTGGTTGCAGTGAGCCGTGATCACACCACTGCACTCCAGTATGGGTGACAGACCAAGACTCCATCTCAAAAAAAAAAAAAAAAAAAACACCCCAAAGCCAGAACAAATAAAGGGACAAACACCAGAATGAAAAGATGTAGGAAGAGCCTCGTGCCTCCTCCCATTCTGTGGTTCAGGACGGTGAGCGCGTAGAGGGCCAAGACAGTCATCTGAGCCCTTCCACCTACCACCTGTGGCTCCCCAAATTTCACTGAAATGACAGAAAAATTAAATTTAGGAAAAAATACTCAATTTGTGGTAGAAAACAGGAAATGATATCTTGAATTGACCAGCCTCTGAGGAATTCTGGAAGACAGAGTACAGACTGGCTTAGATGAGGATTAAGGCACCAGCTCCAACACCCAGGGCAAGTGCAGGTGAACAGGTCCTGGAATCCACTGAGAACCCACTCCTAGGCCCCTAGAGGCAGAGGCCAAGCAGAGCAGCATGGAGGTGAGCTCCTCCCTACAAGGGACTGAGACGCAGCAGAGGGGAGACCTGCTCTGGCTCGGATGGGGTTGGAGTTCCTGCATAGCACCCTCCCATACACACCAAACTGCAAAGGCACAGGCAGTGTATCCAAGGGGTCAGGGGTCAGGAGCTCAGAGTCCAGCCTAAATCCAGCTCGGCACACCTTTCACTTGCAACCCTGGTTCTTCACCTAACTCCTCCATACTTCAGTCTCCCCGTGTATAAAACAGAAGCAGAAACAGTACCCCCTCACCCCTGGCCATGGCAAGCACCAAGTGACACTATACAGGAAAAGTGTCCCCAGCAGAGCGTGGCCCATGTGGGTGCACATGGAGCGAGGACTGTCACTGTTATCTAAGGTGTATTATAAATACAGATGCCTCAAAAACAAGACCAAGGGCTCCATGGACCAGAAATGGGAGCAACTGAAGCTGTCACAGATCCATCTGGCTCCATTGCCTTCTGGGTGAAGGGAACGGAGTCATTCTACACATGACAGAGACCTCAGAATGGTCCAGGAGATGAAGTGGAGACAGAACAGCCAAGAAGTCTACAAAACTAACAAATGACATCACAGCACAGATGCACAGATCTCAGGGAGGCCTGAGCAGGAAAACACAGACAGCCATTCCTCCAGCCCCCAGCACTCATGTCGCAGAGAGCCAGCCATAAGCCAGGGGCTGCAATTTGCCAAGTGCTAAGGTGCATTTATTTTCAACAAAGAATTCTAAAGTCTATGAAAATGAGCTTCAAGAAAAAGAGGCATTTTTTTTAAACAAAAACTGAGAATTTATCACTAATAGCCCAGCACTAAAATAAATAATAAAGGAATTCCCTGTAGGTAGGAAAAATAGTTCCTGATAGAAACACAGAGATTTGGGAGGCAGTGAGGAGCAGGGAAGAGAGGAAAACAGGGGGAAATCTAAATGGGTATTAGCTGTCCACCGCAGCACTGCATTGTGGGGCTTTAGCGCAGCGAGATCCAGTGTGGCTGAAGGAGCAGTGCGGGAAAGGCCAGCAGAGGGGGAATCTGGTGAGAGCTGAGGTCCTCACATCACCAGGAAAATCTAATTTACATTAGACTTCTAAAAGTCAAGATTCTTTGCACAATCCCTAGGAAAATCATAAGCTAATGTTTTCTTTTTGTATTTAGTTTTTAAAGGGGGGTGTGTGCTCCACAATGGTACAGTAAGGAGGATGTACAATTAAACCTTACAGCATGACTGAAGGCCTTAGTGGAGAAAATCAATGCTGGTGCTGACCAGTTGAGGCCCCTAGGCCCGACAGTGCAAGCGGAACCGGGGGCACTGCAGCGCTGGGTCCACAGAGCTCTCCTCATGCAGCTATAAGGCATGCTGTCGGCGATTCGCTGTCAGACACGGGAAAGGAGCGCTGCAAAAGAACGCTCTTATCGTCATGAAGGCTGACTCAGCCACCCCAAGCAGGCGGGAGGCAGGGTTCTCTGGCTAGGAATGCCAACCCTAAATTACTGTCTTGAAATAGACACAGATTGTACTGGCTACAGCATGATACTTTCCTTGGGGTGCCAGGCTTATGGGGTACCAGGCTTATACAAGATTTTGTTGGAGTCTCGGCCGTCAACGTTGATTTCATCTTCTTCTGCTTGCTGCTTGCACAGACTTTGCATGGCTTCAGAATTGTGCAAAGCTTATTGTTTTCCCGTGATACTTCTAGGGTTATGTCTCATTTTGTGTTTCTGTCAAACATTCTGAAGTTATTGTTAAGACCCAGTCACAACGCCGTCAGATCCATTCCAACAACATTGAATTTGTCAGACATATGGTCATTTTCACACAGTGCAGTTTACTTCTGAGCTACTCATGCACCTGTTACATTTCCATAGGCATTTTCCATATATACATACACACACACACACACACACACACACACACATATATATTTGAGATGGAGTCTCGCCCTATGGCCCCGGCTGGAGTGCAATGGTGTGATCTTGGCTCACTGCAACCTCTGCTTCCCAGCTTCAAGCAATTCTCCAGCCTCAACCTCCCAAGTAGTTGGGATTACAGGGGTGCACTACTGAACCCAGCTAATTTTTGATATTTTCAGTAGAGATGGGGCTCACAATGTTGGCCAGGCTGGTCTCCAACTCCTGACCTCGGCCTCCCAAAGTGTTGGGATTACAGGCGTGAGCCACTGCACCCAGCTGTGTTTTACATATTGAAGTTCCAACTTTTCACTAACAAATGGTCTCTATCTTCATATTTGACCACTATGGCTGAATTTTACATCATAAATAAAGAAGATGATTTGAGACAAAAATGACCCATTACTAGAATCATCAGGTTCTTCAGTGCAGAATGCCTATCACAGAGGGCAGATGCTCTCATGTCACATGAGTGAATGGTTCCTTTACTGCTGCTAGATACAGATGTGTGACAGCTGTTCAGATGGAATTCTGTGGCTGAAAGCATCTGTTAACTCTTCCACATTGCCAGGCTTGATAGCCACAATATTAAAACTCCTGTCTATGATTTCCAGATGCCAAAGATTTGATTTTAATCCGCAAATCACCTGCAGATAAATATGTTTCAAAATCACTAGTAGCAGGAATTGCGTTGACGTGATGAGTACAAGCGCTGGCAGATGCCCTCTGTGGAGTGGCCTTGACCACTCGACCCATGGGCCTAAAGACTGGCACTCACAGTGCAGTGACCGTGGCAGCTTCTCTACACATGCCATCTTCCGCTTCAAGTTACATGCTCCTGGTCTTTTGTCCCTTTCACTGACTTTCCATAATTTCATTGTTGTATTATTGGTAGACAATCAAAGCTAAGCAGAAGTTTTCTCACATAACCACCTAGTTTTGTCGAACTTTTTCTTTTCTTTCCAAACTTTTCAAGTGGTCGAACTCTGGCTCATGGTCTGAAAGGTACTGTAAACACGGCGTTCCCTTCTGCCTAAGATGAAATTTTGTTCATTTGCTCCTGTTGAAGGATTATGACTCTGCCACTTTTATCTCCAGTTCCCACTAATTCTCCAGAATGATTAAATTCTATTATGGAAGAAAAATGCTAATGAAATAGTTATGATCAATAGTTACAGAAAAATTAATAAAATTCAACACCACTCATGACATCATCTGCTACATCATCATTTATTGCTCTTTTCACCTCAGAAACCACTACTATCATTTCCTCCTCCAGCTCCTGTGGTGAGGAAATAAAAATACACACATGCCGTCATTACATTTTACCTTGTGAAGTGCTCGTCCTTCTCAGTGCAAAAGTATCTGCATATACACCTAATAAAGCTTGCAGCAGGGGGCTAAACTACTTTCCTTGACCTAAATGTTGATAACAACCTGATTGTGAAAAATTTACTGAGGTAAACACTTACAATGTGTGTACTTGTCTATGTGTTATACTTCAATGAAAGTTCATAGAAGTTACAACTAAAAATTTTCAAATATTTAAAAACTAATATACTTCTAGGTAACACATGGGTCACAGGAGAAACTGAGTAGAAATTTCAAAATTGGTGATAAAAATATAACATCATCAAATATGTCTACTGCAGGCAAAAATGAACAGAGGGAAAATTATGACCCTATCATGTAAATATTATAAAGAAAAGGTTGAAAATTAATCCTAAGC